GTACCCGCCGGACTACTTAGCGAATCCCAGGTATCCTTGGCAATGTACCGCTCGCCGCGCCTCCATGTAACGATATCAAACCCTTTCGGGGGTCTACCGAATAGACTCCGAAATTCGCGGTAGATTGGTGCACGGGCTCAACCTATCACTCAAGTGATCTGCTGGATCACCCACAACTTTCCCTCCGTCGTCATATTTTTCGTATTCACCCCCCGACAATTCCGCTTCCCGCCGTTCACCCAGCGTCCGCTTTTGTCGGATGGGGTATCGTCGTTGTTGCCCGCGCGAACTCGGCCACGGTGTAGAACCAAAAACTATCGGAGTCGGGGCAGCCTTAGTTAAAAGGAAACTGTCGCCCAACCGTTTTGCAGCCCGCCGTGCCTATCACGTCACGTAAAATCCACAGCTTCCCGGTCTCAGCTTCGCCGCTGCGCCGTCGATTCGTGTAGACGCCCGGGTCAGGAGAAACCTGTAGACTGCACCATTTCTTCTTCGCAGCTCCCCGACTTTTTCGCGTGCCGTTCACCCAGCCCGCTTTTGTCGGAGTAGAACAGTGCCGCGAGCTCCACATACAGCCGGTGTATTTTTTCTGTACAGCTGTCGAACGGGCACCAATCCCGGTACCTTTAACCAGCGCAGGGTAGGCCACGTGTTCACCCCCGTTATTCGGCCAAGTAGGTTGACTGCATGAGTCAGAACCAGGACTTGGTGGGGATGGTGAGGTTCGGGCGAAGTAGGGCCGCAGAGCGATTCCACCGGCTTTTAATCTGCCCCCGCAACGTTCTTCAACCCCCGCTTAGCCGTTGGGCCGTTTCTTCTCGCGTGTCCCGGCAGCCTGTACCGACCCTTCCGAAATTATCGGGCGGTACCTTGGACACCGTTTAACCGTGGGTTGTCAGCAGCTGTCCCCGAAAACAACATCCTTGGTCAGGGGAAACTGTTCTCGATACTGCCGGCCAGCTTGCAACAACACCAGGCACGCAGCGTCGCACGAGTTCTTTCGAGGTGTACCTGCCCCGATTTCCCTCGTCGCCTGCGTCCCACTCCTCGTAAGTGCGGTTTAGCCATCGCGTTTTCCGTTGCAGCCCGTAAGCGTCAGCAGGTATGAAGTCCCGTCTGTCCACGAGCACTCCTGCCGAATTTGTTGATGACGCGCCCGCCAATGCAGTAAAAGCTGCCGCACTTAACAGGTCGGGCGGGACGGCAGTTAACTCCCGCGAAGTCGGGCAGTCTTGTGTCGTCTCTCCTCGCCACCGACATTTTCGGACGCAAACTCCTTTTGCGCCTGGCGAGTTCCCCAGCCGACGTTTTCTTCAACAGAAGCTCCGAAATTTTCGCCACAGTGACGCACGTTCCTTGTCGCCAGCTGCCGAGCCACACTCCGTGAGTCGCGCGCGCATGATGACGACGAGCCACCGTTGTCACTTGCCGCATGGGACGGACTCCGAAGTTGTCGCAGCAGTTGTTGACTCGGGTCCGACGGCGTCAACTGCCACACATCGTGACGACTTCCGAAATCTTCGTGCAGGTGCCGACGCAGATCCGCTGACGCCAGCTGCCTCACAGTTTCGAAATCGTCGTTAAAACCGCAGCGGAAATAGTAACTCACGTTCGATGTCGCGACAGCTCCAGCTGTCCGTTGCCCGGGGGGAGGGAGGCCACGGTCGATCGCGACCGTCGAAGGCAAGGATCTGGCGGTGCCGAGGAGTGCACTAAAAATCCATGGCCGCGAAGAGCAACTAACCCGTTCTCTAAGCTGGCTTAGGCAACTCCTGGACCCCAAGACATCCTTCTTCGTCCCCCCCCGAGGGGTAATACACTCTAAAAAGCGGGGTAGGCTAGGAAAGTAGCTCTGATACCAGGTGTTATGAATGAACTTGTCAGAGTGCGCAGATATCGAATAACGAGAATGTTGAACTACAGAATGCCTGAACAATGAAGTAGCGAGGCCTAAATAGGGGAAAACCTAGCTAGGCGGGGATGGTGTGGTAGGGTTGGCTCGCGAAGTGTCGCGATTGGTGCGGAGGCGGCTCGGTGAGGTTGGGATGCGAAAATGTAGGCCGAACCAGAGGCTCGCGTGGCCCTCGGGATGGCCTCGCTATCGAGCGCCTCAGTAAGGATTTGTAAATCCTTACACACAGCATGTAATGTTATTTTTTTCCTCTTTGTTTAGCAGGGTTACCGTGCGACGGGCAATAACGTTTTGTTTAGGGGTCAGTCTGGTACAGAACCACAATCGTATCCAGAAATTTACCGCATATTTCAAGGAAACTATCTCAGACTGAACTAGAAACTTCTTACCAGTGTCAGTGGAATTCCGAGGCTAAAGCAAAATCTCGGACGCTTCCCCAGTTCGAGTGGGCCCAGTGCGACTGGGAGGCTACCGAACAGGGCCATTGTATTACCTATGATGCACCATGGTTTGTACAATTCGGTTCTAGGTCGACCTTGTTAAAACGGGTTGATTTAAAACCCAGGGTCCATACGTTTCAAAGGTAGGAAGGATGGTTGGACTTCGTGACAAAACCAAAGGTAGGAAGGTTGGTTGGACTTTGTAACCCAACCAAAGATAGGTAGGATGAGGCAACTTCGGGATACTTGAGACTCCGGTTTGAGAAAAACGCCCACGTGGCAAAGTGTGAGCAATTCGGGTCGATTCTTGGGGACAACATCAGCTGCAATCCAATTAGGCCAGCGCGGTTCGCAAATGCGATCCCTAACAGTCCCCCCTGGAAGAAGCTGATGGTCGTAATCTGCCCGCGGTCAGAAAAAAATAAACCCCATCTGGATGGCATGCGATTAGGGGAGCCCCAACCCTAAACACGGGGAGCCCCAACCCTAAACACGGGTAGCCGCATGGTTCTGCCCGAAAAGATTGCATTTGCAAACCCGCACTGGGAAAATGAGATCGCAGTTCGAATTGTCCGCGATTCTTTTGAGACAAACGCGATTTCCGCCGACGCGCGCGATTTCGCCCTGGTCCACGAACCTGAGCTCGGGCTCGTTACAGGCCAGCTGACCTGACCAAGCGACAGGCCTCGTCACCACTCACCACACCACACACATCCCCTGGCTGAGCCTCGTACATCAGCCGCTTCTTGGGCACATCAACTCCACTCCACTCCACCCCATTCCACCATAATCAAATCCACCCCACTCTACTCAACTCCCATTTCGGAGTTCAATTCTCGATTCCACCATGTTCATTGGCGGGAGATGCGTTGGGTTGGGAGAAGTTCCAGCCTCTGCTCTGCACAAAAGCGAATTCCAGACAAAGAGGAATCCTACGACTCAGTACAAGTCTCGGAACCCAGAAAGTCAGACACCTTTCCATGATATCGTGACCATTCCTCCCTCCCTCCGCCCGCTTGGACATGTGCAGCGCGAATCTTCTGTTTGTGCATGTGCTGCTTGGGTGACATGTCCTGCAGCTGGCACCATCGTCGCGTGAATCATGATTTCATGTCGCGAGTCGGGACGTCCAAGATTATCACCGAACCGCTCTAAGGAGCGTCAAGACTAGCGATAATAGAGCGCTGCGAGTCAACTTTGTGACGAGCTGTTCTGTGCGGAAGTCCACGCCAGGACGACCGCGCTGACCTCGCCCTTAGGAAACTTGGCTTTGCCTCCCCTATCCCTTCCGTCTCAAGATTACGTTCGAATCAACCTTCGATTTCCCCGTTCTTGTTGGCGTGAGATGCGTTGGGAGAAGCCCTCCACTGAGCCTAAGTCTCGCACAAGGGAGAGCTTCTGGACTGAAAGGAATCCGACGGACTCGGTACCCGGAACCCGGAAAGTCAGACACCTATCCATATGTGACCATTCCTCACTCCCGCGGCCCGCTTGCCAAGCGGACATGCGCAGCGCGAATCCGAATCGTCCGTGCTTGTGCATGTGCTGCTAAGGTGACGTGTCACATGCCCTCTCCTGGCACCATCTCGTCGTCATGTGAAAGAGTTTCAACGCGACTCGGGCTCGGCATGACGACTACCCGTCCAAGATTATTACCGAACTGCTCTAAGGAGCCCCACCGCGCATAAGTAGCAATGAACTTGGCTGTTCTTGAACATCGCGTTATCTAGTCCCGCCTCTTTTGCTAGCTTCTGAATCCTGCTTCTTTTTACGGCCACTAGTACGGTAATATCAAAGGCTCGTCTCTCTGTCATCTCTTATCATGGAGCGAACTGTGTTTCGCTGGGTACTAATACGTGAGCGCCCATCGACGCCCTTTTGCAAGTGCATCCACGGCTCTGCCACCTTCCAAGACGTTGTAACCCAAGTCGGTGGTGTTTGTGCATTGTGCAGTTGTTACGCTCGTAACTGTGGGTGCAGCTTCTGCAACGTCATCATCTCTCCCAACGAATCCCCCTGCGTCACTTTCAGCGTCCCTCGCAGCCTTCCTCCCCGCCGGAGGACGGCTGTCTATCACTTCCCCTGCTCACGCCACTCCATCGGTGAAGGGGAAGGTGTTCTGTAAGTTCTTCTTCGGCCTGGTGTTTTTTTTTTAATTATTTTTTTCAAAATTCTCGGAAACGGGTCAATGATTTTATGAAAGTTTTGTCAGCTTCCAGCAGCGAGATGTCGGGCTGTTGCTGGTCTGAGGGGACAGGGGACAGCGAGATGTCCCCTCAGACCAGGAGACCAGAAGCGTGTGTTCAACATTAACTAAGTTACTTTGGGCCAAAAGTAAGTTACTTTCACGGTTCCCTTTACCTTTGTGCCTACCCTGCCTTCCCTTTTCAGTGCGCTATGTGTCCAGGCTCACTCCCCCTCGTAGCAGCGGAGAAGTAGTTGGTGACCGAGGAGCAACGGGAAGGGTTACTCTGAAGGGAGTCAAGTAAGTTTGCTGTTTTCTAACCATTGCAGTCGGCTCTGAACACTTCTAAGAGTGTGAACGTGTCGTTCTCTTTCTCCTGACCTTGCATCAAATATCATGTTAGGAGCCATGAATCGACACGTGGTGCTCCTGTCCCTCCTATTCCCCCTTACCTCGGTGACAGGGCCTCTGCAAGTGCCAGCTACGTTGTGTTCAAGATGCGTGTCAACAAAATCCAGTCTGGAGGGGCTGCACCCTTCGTGGACGCCGTTTCGACTTGCCTTGACGGCAAGTTTGCTGTGGGTTATGAAGGCAGTGAGTGGGAGAACATCACGAGTGCCACCAGGGGTGGTTGGCCCTGGGGTGGTCGGCGCAAGCGTTACAGCTTCGCTACCTCAATAGTTATGGGCCCAGGATCACAGACCGATGTTCGGACATTCATTGGTACCTATACCCATCTGTTATCGGGCATGCATTTGGTAGCTTCTCATCCGGAAAATGACCATGCTCTCTGCGGGAAGATGAAGAAGCGACCCGTATAAGCATTACCATTTCAAGTTCATGTTTGAGCATTGTAAGGACATTTGCAAACGTGTCGCTCCAACATGGGACGTGGGGGCTGGGGTGTCCCTCAGTGTGTTATCATGCACCAGCACCACGGTTTGTACGATGTGAGTTCGACCTTGTAAATAGCCTACCCATGCTTATGTGCAGATGTTTTTTAGTACTAGCAGTATCTTTTTGCTAGCATTTTCCATAGAATAGGAAGTGATTTAGCATCTGTTTTGTATTTCATGTTCATATGGAATGGATCACCCCACCCACATCCCAGGGGAATCTGTCGCTCGAGGAATCTGGGTGGGTGCACAGCAGCAAGAGAAGTACTAATGAAGTAACGACTGATAAACGATGCAACATGATACGTAATGCACTCCTGACAATAGATAAAGAACCACGTAGAAGATTCCGTGCACACGAGACTGATGGATCTAGCCTGTATGGAGGAGAGTTGCCCCTGGCAGGTGCCAGCCACCCACTCTCTCATGATCAATCACAGCCTTGCATTTATCGGGTACAGGTGCCACTCTAACACTGACTACGGTACCAAAGGCTTGCTTCCCGCCGGCACAAGTGCCTGTGTTCGTTGCGGTGCAGTGCGGTGCTGGATCATGGGGCCACTGCCAGCCGGCACCAGTTATGATACTGAGCGACTTGATTGATCAAGCTTATGGATACAGCTTTCAGGTGGTGTGAGGGTGGGATGCATCATTAGGACACAATGTAGTCTATTTTTGAGGCGCCTCAGAAATAGCTTTGAGGTGGCTGAGGGTGGGATGGGATGCATCAGCTCAGGCGGGCACCAGGTAGTGCCGCAGCACCTTCTCCAGTGCTGCTTTGCTCACTGGCTTGGACATGTAGTCTGGTGGGAGGCCAGGTGGAAGAGGGGGGGGGTAGGGTGAAGAAGGGAATAAGGGGAAGCGGGGGGGAGAGCGGGAAGGGGGGAGGGGGAGAGGAGGATAAATAATGAGGAGGGAGGAGGGTAGAAGGTAAGGGGGAGGGAGGAGTAGTCAGCAAGTTGAGGAGGTGTAAGGGTGGATGCATGAGGCGGGCACCAGGTAGTGCCGCAGCACCTTCTCCAGTGCTGCTTTGCTCACTGGCTTGGACATGAAGTCTGGTGGGAGGACCAGGGGAAAGCAATAAGTCTGGTGGTAAGCACCCTTGTTCCTCCAGGTGAAATAACCGTGTGAGATCAGTTCAATTTGTAGCATTCGATTGAAAACAATAGGTTCCTGCCTCATCTTCCTCCTCAAAGTGAATGTGTTTGCTCCTCCATCTGAGCACGAGCTTAGAATATATACAATAGTAATGAGCTCGAAGCTCTTTAAGTACATCCAGGATGAGCAAGGAATGGAGGGGAGGGGAATCGTGGACAATCTCTAGGAATTGGAGGTAATCCCAAGGCAATCTCCAATTGGTGGGTTGGAGATTGCTTGGAGATCACATTTAGGCTTGGTCAAGATGTGGGTGTATACCCAATCAAACATAAAGTGCAAACTACACTACTGTAGGATATAGAAAGTACAAAATACAAAGTGTGAGATTGAGGGCTAACACGAACACATCCCTCCTCCCAGTTGTTGTTCATATCATATCTCATGGTTTCCCTGCTTTTCTATTATGACTCTGTGCACAAAGAGCCACCCCCTTACTCCCCCTCGTAATGCGCCTTTCCTTCCACTCCCCACCACCTCATCTCATATGCAGGACTCCCCTGGCGGGAGGCTTTTGAGTCATCTCAAATCCGCGCCTCATTTCCTGTACTTACCCTCTGTCTTTTCATTCACCACCATTTCATCTCGAATGCAGGACTCCCTTGGCGGAAACTCGAGGACTACTATGATTGCATGCATCAGCCCGGCTGCAGAGTAAGTACTATTATTATTGTTGTTATTATTATGATTATTGCTACGATTGTTAGTATTATCATTGTCTCCCAAATAGCCTGGCTCCAGAGGAAGTGCTGAGATGTCCAAAAGCTGCATCAACCCAATCGCACAGTAGGTGTCTCCCTCGTTATGTAGACTTCCCTCAATGAATCTATCCCTGTGCCATGCCTCCTCTGTCCCAAATAGTGTCTCTAATGGCCAAATGGTGTTTCAAATGGTGTCTCATGTGTCTCCGATTGTCTTGTGTCCCTCTCCTCCACCTGCAGGTGGTACCAGGAGACTCTCAGCACACTCAGGTTTGCAGTGGGGGCGAGGAACGTGCGCAACAAGGCAGTGGTGAACGAGGCCCCTGTGGACCTGCTGCAGAGGGTCGCTCAGATTGAGGTGCGATGCTCCCTTCATAAACAGGCGAACAAATACACCCTGTTTTTTTTCCCCCCCACTCCACTCCTCTCCACTCCTCTCCATGACAGTGATCGGCATTTGTGCAACAGTATTGTCCTTTTTATCCCATTCGTGATGAGACTATGTTTGAGTCGACTCAAATGTAGACTCTATCCCGCTTCATTCCTCTCCCCCATCTCCATCACAGCGATCGGCATTCGTGCAAAGTGTCCCCTTTATTCCTGTTCGTCCTGCCTGGCACATGCCTGCTTCATCCTCTCCTTGTCTCCGGTCTGCTCACTTACCTCCCTCCTACCTACCGTCCCCTGTCGTTTCCCCTCCCTCCCTACCATGCTTCCTCCATCCAACCATGTCACCTCCCTCATCCTCCGTCGTCCTCCCTCATCCTCCGTCGTCCTCCCTCTTCCTCCCACGCCTCTTGCCCACCCTCTCCGCGCCCTCCAACTACACAGGATGAGATGTGCCGCCCTTGTCACCTCGAATGGACTCTCATTAGAAATCAGAATGTCACCTCTGCACCTGCAAAGCCCATTGATGAGGCGCCTCAACAGAATATTCTTCCCTTCACGCCCCACCTTTCCGCCAACCACACGCACTAGCTTCATCACATGCGTGCGCTACGCACCTGCAGAGCCTGTCTGCTCATCCCCTCCTCCCTCCTACCGTGCGTCCTCTTTCTTCCTCCCTCGTACCTCCCTTCCCCTGTCCTTCCTCCCTCCCTCCCCTTTCTTTTCCTCCAATCACACAGGACAAGCTTCACCGTGTGAGTGAGCTTATGCATGAGCTCTGCACCTGCGGAGCCCATCAGCGCCTCCTTCCCTCCCTCCCTCCCTGCCATCATGCTTCTCTTTCTTCCTCCCTTCCACCTCCCCTCCCCTGCCGTTCCTCCCGCCCTCCCTCTTTCCAATCACACAGGACAAGCTTCACCGTATGAGTGAGCTTATGCACGAGCACTGCACCTGCGGAGCCCATCAGCGCCTCCTTCCCTCCTCCTCCTCCTCTCACTCTGAAGCCACCACACCCGCCACCGCCACAGCCCGCTATCCCACCACCACTGCCACTGCTGCTGGTTGTTTTACTGGGATGGAAGCGTTGGAGGGGTTGGGTGAGGGAGAGGAGAGGGTGGGAAGGCTGTCAACAGTGGCGGAGGGGGAGAGGGAGGAGGAAGGGGTGGATGGGGAGGAGGAGCAGCACGAGGGAAATGGATTGGATGCTGAGAAGATTGGTGCGGTGAGTGTGAAGGATTAGGAGAGCTCGCTTCTACAGTATTTGCCTCTCATTTCATGTCATCTCTCATGCCACCTCTCTTGCCACCTCTCGTGCCACGTCTCATGGATCTCTTGCATTCATCCCCTATGCTTCTGCCACGTAACAACAACGCAGTCACCAGGTGCAAAAATTTGCAGTAAGTGGAGAAAACTCAGCAAGAATCTGCACCCCTTCCTCCCCTCCCTGCCCCCCCTCTCCTCCCCTCCCCTCCCCTTTCTTCCCTTCCCTCCCTCCCCTCCATCGCTCCCCTCCATCCCTCCCTTCCCTTCCCTCCCTCCCCTCCATCCCTCCCCTCCCCTCTCCGTCTCTCCCTGCCCCGCCAGAAGAATAGAGTAAACAGGAATCTTGAGGCGGCGTTTTCAGGCGCCAAGGGGTTTGCGACTCCCCTTCTCACGAGGGGCAAGGCTGCGGCAGTAGAGCGAGAGAGAGCGGCAGAGCAGGAGGAGATGGCAACGAATGAGCAGGCGAAAGAGGTGAAGGGATTGAAGGAGAGGGTGCGCGAGGCAGAAAGGAGGGCGGAAGAGTTTGCGCTGTTAATGGGGGAAGCAACAAGGAGGGTGCAAGAGGCGCAGGAAGAAGCAGCAAGGAAGGTGCAAGAGGCGAAGGAAGAAGCGGCGAGGAAGGTGCAAGAGGCGAAGGAAGAAGCAGCAAGGAAGGTGCAAGAGGCAAAGGAAGAAGCGGCAGCAGCAGGGGAGAGAGCGCGAAAGAGAGTGGCGGGACAGGAGGAGGAGTTAAAGAGGGTGAGGGATGAGATAGATGAGGAACGGCGACAAGTGGGTGAGCTGGAGAGGAGGGTGGAGGAATTGAAGGAGGAGACAGGGCGAGTAGCGGAGGAGAGAGATGGGGCACAGCAACGAGTATGTGACCTGGAGAGGAAGGTAGAGGAGTTGGAAGAAGAGACAGGGCGAGTGGCAGAGGAGGGAAAGAGGGTGAGGGAGGAGAGAGATGGGGCACAGCAACGAGTATGTGACCTGGAGAGGAAGGTAGAGGAATTGGAAGAAGAGACAGGGCGAGTGGCAGAGGAGGGAAAGAGGGTGAGGGAGGCGAGGGATGGGGCACAGCAACGAGTATGTGACCTGGAGAGGAAGGTAGAGGAATTGGAAGGAGAGACAGGGCGAGTGGCAGAGGAGGGAAAGAGGGTGACGGAGGAGAGAGATCGGACACAGCAACGAGTAGGTGACCTGGAGAGGAAGGTAGAGGAATTGGAAGAAGAGACAGGGAGAGCGGCAGAGGAGGGAAAGAGGGTGAGGGAGGAGAGAGATTGGGCACAGCAACGAGTAGGTGACCTGGAGAGGAAGGTAGTGGAATTGGAAGAAGAGACAGGGAGAGCGGCAGAGGAGGGAAAGAGGGTGAGGGAGGAGAGAGATCGGGCACAGCAACGAGTAGGTGACCTGGAGAGGAAGGTAGTGGAATTGGAAGAAGAGACAGGGAGAGCGGCAGAGGAGGGAAAGAGGGTGAGGGAGGAGAGAGATCGGGCACAGCAACGAGTAGGTGACCTGGAGAGGAAGGTAGTGGAATTGGAAGAAGAGACAGGGCGAGTGGCAGAGGAGGGAAAGAGGGTGAGGGATGAGAGAGATGAGGAACGACGACAAGTGGGTGAGCTGGAGAGGAGGGTGGAGGAATTGAAGGAGGAGACAGGGCGAGTAGCGGAGGAGAGAGATGGGGCACAGCAACGGGTAGGTGACCTGGAGAGGAAGGTAGAGGAATTGGAAGAAGAGACAGAGCGAGTGGCAGAGGAGGGAAAGAGGGTGAGGGAGGAGAGAGATGAGGCACAGCAACGAGTGGGTGAGCTGGAGAGGAAGGTACAGGAATTGGAGAAGAGCAGGAGCGAGGCAGAAGATTATGCATTGTTATTGGAGAAATCAGTGATGAAGGTGCAGGAGGCACAGGAAGAAGCGGCGGTGGCAGGGGAGAGAGCACGAGAGATGATGATTATGGAGGAGAGGGACGGGGCGTTGCGATCGGCGGAGGAGCGGGCGAGGGAGGCGGAGAGGTTTAGGGAGGAGAGGGACGCGGCGTTGCGATCGGCGGAGGAGCGGGCGAGGGAGGCGGAGAGGTTTAGGGAGGAGAGGGACGCGGCGTTGCGATCGGCGGAGGAGCGGGCGAGGGAGGCGGAGGGGTTTTTGGAGGAGAGGGACGCGGCGTTGCGATCGGCGGAGGAGCGGGCGAGGGAGGCGGAGGTGTTTAGGGAGGAGAGGGACGCGGCGTTGCGATCGGCGGAGGAGCGGGCGAGGGAGGCGGAGGGGTTTAGGGAGGAGAGGGACGCGGCGTTGCGATCGGCGGAGGAGCGGGCGAGGGAGGCGGAGGGGTTTTTGGAGGAGAGGGACGCGGCGTTGCGATCGGCGGAGGAGCGGGCGAGGGAGGCGGAGGGGTTTAGGGAGGAGAGGGACGCGGCGTTGCGATCGGCGGAGGAGCGGGCGAGGGAGGCGGAGGGGTTTAGGGAGGAGAGGGACGCGGCGTTGCGATCGGCGGAGGAGCGGGCGAGGGAGGCGGAGGGGTTTTTGGAGGAGAGGGACGCGGCGTTGCGATCGGCGGAGGAGCGGGCGAGGGAGGCGGAGGGGTTTAGGGAGGAGAGGGACGCGGCGTTGCGATCGGCGGAGGAGCGGGCGAGGGAGGCGGAGGGGTTTAGGGAGGAGATGGACGCGGCGTTGCGATCGGCGGAGGAGCGGGCGAGGGAGGCGGAGGGGTTTAGGGAGGAGAGGGACGCGGCGTTGCGATCGGCGGAGGAGCGGGCGAGGGAGGCGGAGGGGTTTAGGGAGGAGAGGGACGCGGCGTTGCGATCGGCGGAGGAGCGGGCGAGGGAGGCGGAGGGGTTTAGGGAGGAGAGGGACGCGGCGTTGCGATCGGCGGAGGAGCGGGCGAGGGAGGCGGAGGGGTTTAGGGAGGAGAGGGACGCGGCGTTGCGATCGGCGGAGGAGCGGGCGAGGGAGGCAGAGGGGTTTAGGGAGGAGAGGGACGCGGCGTTGCGATCGGCGGAGGAGCGGGCGAGGGAGGCGGAGGGGTTTTTGGAGGAGAGGGACGCGGCGTTGCGATCGGTGGAGGAACGGGCGAGGAGGGTAGAGGAGTTGGAGGAGAGGGTGCGAGAGGCTGAAAGGATGCATGAATGGGATGCACTTTCACTGGAAGAAGGAGCAACGAGGGTGCAGGAACGGGAGGTGGTGTTAGGGGAGGGAGCGAGTGAGGGACTGGTAGGGCAGGAGGAGAGAGTGAGTGAGGGACTGGGAGGGCAAGAGGAGGAGGAATTGAGTGAGAGACTGGTGAGGCAGGGAGAGGGAGTGAGTGAGAGATGGGAGGGGCAAGAGGCGGAGGAGGAGGGGGTGAGAGAGGGACTGGGGAGGCAGGAGGAAGAGGAAGGAGTGAGTGAAGGATTGGGGGGGCAAGAAGAGGAGGAGGAGGAGGAGGAGGAGGAGGAGGAGGAGGAGGAGGAGGAGGAGGAGGAGGATGAGGAGGAGGGAATGGGTGAGAGACTGGGGGGGCAGGAAGAGGAGAGAGGGAGAGAGGGATTGGAGGGCCAGGTTGAGGCAGAGGGAGCGAGTGAAGGACTGGAGGGGCAGGAGGAGGGGGAGGAAGATACGGGGAGGAGGAGGAAGCGGCGACCGCTTACAGTGGACGAGGTGGAGTCACTGGTGGCTGGTGTGGAGACGATAGGCTTTGGCAGGTAGGTGGGGTTGAGAGCGTGAGAGTGAGGGTGAGGGTGAGACTGTGAGTGAGGGTGGTGGTGGTGCTGGTTACGTTTGGATTTCAGTCGAAGTTTTTCAGAATTACAATTGTTTCGAAGTGAATATCGTCTCTTTGCTAACGCGGCCCATCCTACTGCTGCCCTTCTTCTCGAGCAACGATCCTTGGGACTTTGGAGGCGCTTGGCATTGGCAGGTGGGTGGAGGGCAGGAAGGGATGGTTGGATAGTAAGTTGGTGGGTGAGTGGGTGCCTAGATGGGTGGAAGGATGGGTACTAGATGGGCAAATAAGTGGGCGGATGGGCGGGTGAGTGGGTGGTATGGTGGGTGAAGAGGTGAATGGGTGGGTAGATAGTTGGGGTGGGTGGGTAATGGGGGGTGGGTGGGTGGGTAATGGGGGGTGGTTGGGTAGGTGGGTGCGAGTAGAGTTGTGTGCAGGTAGAGCTGGGTGCAGGTAGAGCTAGGCGCAGTCCAACTAGGCATCCGACAACTTTTGAATGCGTAGCTGTTGGATGCTGTAAGGGTTCTGGGCACTAGCAGTTGGTTCAGTCGGGGAGTGAGTGAAAAATGTTTTCTACTGGGTTGGTGGGCTGGTTGGGGGATGTTGGAAAGGAAAAGATTTCATAGATGGCACTGATTGTTTTTCTTTCTCGACTGGAAAAAAAAATCCAAGGTTGTAGAGTGAGAGAGCAGAGGTGGATTTCGAGAGTAGGAGTGGAGCTGCATCTGAGGAAGCAGAGGAGGAGGAAGAGAGAGTTTTGAGATGGGCATTGGCAGGTGAACGAGGGTGAGACCGTAAGTGTGAAGGTGAGTGTTAGAATAGAAGCGAAGCTGCATCTGATGGAGCAGAGGAGGAAGAGAGCGACATTATATGTGAGTTGTGGATCCTGGAGGTCAGGCAAGGGAAGGGAAGGCTGCACAATTTGGCTGCTAAAAAATCCTGGATTTTTCCTACTCCCCCTATTCGAACGCCATTGCCCTCCCTGTGCAATTCAGATGGAAGAGAATAAAGCTGGATGCGTTTGCCACGTCAGAGCATCGGACAAACGTGGATCTCAAAGTAAGTATTAGAACTCAATTCTTGTCCGTTAACGGATAACGAGGGTCCTTGGTGACCATTGTGCTCTTTTGCTAAAAGTTGAGTTTTGAGACGTCTCAAGGTGACTTTTTAGTCGACTCACAAGTCACCTCAACTTTTATCACGTGACTATTCTCTTGGGTCCGTAGTGTTCATTGTGCTCTCTTGTCACCAAGGACTCGAGCACGTGAACTGCCACTTCTTTGTACAAGTTTTGAGGAGCCTTTTGAGGCGTCTCAAATGTAAATGCACTTTTGGAGTGACTCATCAATTCATAAGTGGCTATCACCTCCTAGCTCATTGGACACGGTTCTTTTCACAATTGTGTCACTTTATTTTATCATGTGCCTCGGATGTCGTTCTACTTTTGAGGTGCCTCGACAGTTCGTATGTGGGTATCACCTCCTAGCTTATGTGATGTGCTCAGGAAAGGGGTTGGTCATGTGCAAAAGTGTCTGTCTGTACAGACGAGTTCCAACTTCCTTGGAACTCAATTAACAAGCTCACGCTTGAGTGACGTTTTAGTCTCTTTCATGTGCATCGTTGTTTTTTTGTATCACCATCTCAAAATTCTTGTGCACCCATCAGGACAAGTGGGATACGCTGGTGCATACGGCTGAGATTGCGCCAGAACAGCGCAGGGGGGAGCAAGTATCACAGGAGCTGTTGGATCGAGTAACGCGACTGGATGCCTACTGGAAGGAGCAGCGCGAAATACAACGAGCGAGACGATGTTCGTAACGTCCTAGCTACTGCTGCTTTCGTCAGAGTCATTTCCACGAACACTGTTGAAGCACCATGCAGGGTTCCCGTGTTTATGGTTGATGTGTACTTCTTGTGTTTGAATGTGCTTCTTTGTTCGCCTCCCCCGTCTTTTCCTTCCCTTTTCTGCCTCCCCCACCTCCCCTGCCTTCCTGTTTGCAGCTCGAAGAAGGTGCTCTGCAAGAGCAGCAAGAGGAGCTCGCAGCAGTAGTGCAGGCGAAGCAAGAGGAGCAGGCGAAGCAAGAGGAGGGGAAGGCGAAGCAAGAGGAGGGGAAGGCGAAGCAAGAGGAGGGGAAGGCGAAGCAAGAGGAGGGGAAGGCGAAGCAAGAGGAGGGGAAGGCGAAGCAAGAGGAGCAGCAATTGGAGCAAGAGCAGCAGCAGGTGGAGCAAGAGGAGGGGGAGGTGCAGCAAGAGGAGGTGAACGTGAAGCAAGAGGAGCAGCAGAAGCAAGAGGAGGGGAAGGCGAAGCAAGAGGAGGGGAAGGCGAAGCAAGAGGAGCAGCAATTGGAGCAAGAGCAGCAGCAGGTGGAGCAAGAGGAGGGGGAGGTGCAGCAAGAGGAGGTGAACGTGAAGCAAGAGGAGCAGCAGAAGCAAGAGGATCAGCAGAAGCAAGAGGAGCAGCAGAAGCAAGAGGAGCAGCAGAAGCAAGAGGATCAGCAGAAGCAAGAGGATCAGCAGAAGCAAGAGGATCAGCAGAAGCAAGAGGAGCAGCAGAAGCAAGAGGATCAGCAGAAGCAAGAGGATCAGCAGAAGCAAGAGGATCAGCAGAGGCAAGAGGAGCAGCAGAAGCAAGAGGAGCAGCAGAAGCAAGAGGAGCAGCAGAAGCAAGATTAGCAGCAAGCGGAGCAAATGGGGTTGGGGGTGAAGAGACTGCAGGCAGAGTTGGAGGCCGCTATTGGAAGAGGAGGAGGCAGGCGGAGGTGGGGCAGGGGGAGGTAGGGCAGGCGGAGGTAGGGCAGGCGGAGGTAGGGCAGGGGGGGGTGGGGCAGGTGGAGGTAAGGCAGGCGGAGGTGAGGCAGGTGGAGTGGATTAGCGGTGATGAGGAGGCAAGGCCGCAGCAAGGTGGGGGGGAGAAATTTGTTGTGGAGGCAGGTCACCAACTGTGTTTGTTGATAGTGGCGCAAAGCCCGGGTGGTTGCAGAAGGGGAGTGGCAGAGGTGGAGGTGCGGCAGGCGCAGGTGCAGCAGGCGGAGGTGAGGCAGGTGGAGGTGCGGCAGGGGGAGGTGAGGCAGGGGGAGGTGAGGCAGGGGGAGGTGAGGCAGGGGGAGGTGGAGCAGGCGGATCGGATCGACTGTGATGAGGTGGCGAGTCGACAGCAGCAACTGGAGGTTAGTGTTTCTGGGAGGCAGGTCTCTCTGGGTATGTTTGTGATAAGAGAGGAACGATGCCGTTGTAACGATGCAGAAAGAGAGTGGCAGAGGAGACGCACGAGAGGTACATGCACGATGCATGAGAGACACATAGGGAAGATCGACAATGGTGAGGAGGTGAGCCTGCAGCTGTGACTGAAGGTGAGTGTTGTTGGGAGGTAGGCCGCTCTGAGTTGTTTGTGCTTAGAGGAGCGATGCATGAGATACAAATAGGGAAGATTGACAATGATGAGGAGGTGAGTGCTGCAGCGGTGACTGGAGGTGAGTGTTGTTGGGAGGCAGGCCGCTCTGAGTTGTGTGTGCTTAGAGGAGCGATGCATGAGAGACAGATGCATGATGCATGAGAGACACATAGGGAAGTTCAACAATGGTGAGGAGGTGAGTGCTGCTGGTGGTGCTGAGGTTCCTGGCTGTGGGTGAGGAGAGGTGAAGCTGTAGCAGAGAGTGCAGGTGAGAATGGTGTTGCTGTGGAAATGCGTATCTGCCTTAAAAACTCTGTGCCGTCTCTTCCTCTGTCATGACAACTAACGCGCTGCCTCTGCTTTCACTGATGCAGGTAGCGAATCCACGGGGCATGATCCAGAGCATGATGACAGCAGCAGCAGCAGCAGCAGCAGCAGCAGCAGCAGCAGCAGCAGCAGCAGCAGCAGCAGCAGCAGCAGCAGCAGCAGCAGCAGCAGCAGCAGCAGCAGCAGCAGCAGCAGCAGCAGCAGCAGCAGCGGCAACAACAACAACCACAACAGTCAGGCACACGTTTCTTTGTGTTCTAGCCTGTTACGTGACGCCGTTGCTGAAGTGAGCACACTTGTGAGGCGCTTTGACAGCAGGAACAACGACAGTCAGGCACATATCCGTCTGGGTTCCAGCCTGTCAGGTGCCACCCTTGCTGAAGTTAGCTCACTATTTAGGCCCCACGAAAGCAGCAGCAGCAGCAGCGACAACAGCAACATTCAGGCACCACCATTCAACCATTCTGGTGCCACCAGCAACAACAGGAGCAACAACAACGCTCGATTGCATATTTCTATCAGTTCCAGCCAATCAGGTGCAGCCCGTCCCGAAGTGAACTCACTTCAGGATGATGATGAGGTCAGCTCTGTGCCTAGCAGCAGGGAGCAGCAGTGTCTGGGCGCCCAACAGCATCTAGATGGCCAACTGAGGGGTGCGCCTCAGGAGCAGCAGGGAGCAGCAGCGTCTGGCCGTCCCGCACTGAGCTCATCCGTGATCGTATTAGAGGATTCTGAGGATGAAGACAGTGATGTAGCACTGCAACCTGCAACACAGGAGGTTGCTGCCGTCAGAACAACAAAAAGAAAGAGGAAGTCTAGTCGACTTCCGGACTTCGATTACAGTAACTGAATCACAGCTTAGATGTTCTCCCAGTCAGGCCCTGCAAGTGGTCTTTTATCTTCAGTGATGACAGATTTGTTGATGGTATATTCCTAGCCTCGCGTCTCAATTAAGTGGTGCCGTGCGGTGAGAATCCTTTATTGCTAGGAGAAGTGTGGTGGTTTGTGATGCAATGCGATTGCAACACAAGTGTAGGTATGTGTCCTAGGCATCTTCTACATTATCTTTCATTCGGTGCTCAGAATGCTTCTTCCAACATTAATCTTGACCTAGGTCAGGAGGAGGAGGTAAAAAGGGCGATGGATGCGAGAGATGAGGAACGGAGACAAAAGGGTGAGCAGGTGAGGAGAGTAGAGGAGTTGGAGGAGAGGGGGCTAGAGGCAGAAGAGTGTGCTTTTCAACTGGAGGAAGCAGTGATGAAGGTGCAGGAGAAAGTGGTGGTTGTAGCGGAGATAGCACCAGAGGGAGTGGCAGCGCAAGGGGAGGAAGGATAGAGGATTATAAAGGGATGAGGCATTGCAATTGGCGGACGAGCGGGCAAGGAGAGGTGAGGAGTTGGAAAAGCAGAGGGATGGGGCATTGGAATCAGCGGAGCGGCGGGCGAGGGAGGCAGAGGAGTTTAGGGAGGAGAGGGATAAAGCATTGTGATCAATGGAGGACGGAGCAAGGGAGGCAAAGGAGTTTAGGGAGGAGAGGGATGAGGCCTTGCAATAGGCGGAGGAGCAGGCGAGGGAGGCAGGGGAGTTTAGTTAGTAGAGGGATAAGGCATTGCGATCGATGGAGGAGGGAGCAAGGGAGGCAAAGGAATTTAGGGAGGAGAGGGATGAGGCGTTGCAATTGGTGGAGGAGCGGGCGAGGGAGGCAGGGAAGTTTAGTTAGGAGAGGGATGAAGCGTTGTGATGTGGTGGACGAGCGGGTGAGAAGGGTAGAGGAGTTGGAGGAGGAGGGTGCGAGAGGTGGAAAGGAGGGCGGAAGGGGATGCACTGTCACTGGAGGAAGTAGCAAGGAGGGTGCAAGAGCAAAGGAATGGGAGGTGGTGGCAGGGGAGGGAGTGAGTGAGAGACTGGTGGGGCAAGAGGAGGGAGTGAGTGAGAGATTGGGGAGGGGGAGGGGGAGGGGGAGGGGGAGAGGGAGGGGGGAGGGGGAGGGGGAGGGGGAGGGGGAGGGGGAGGGGGAGGGGGAGGGGGAGGGGGAGGGGGAGGGGGGGGAAGGGGGAGGGGGATGGGGAGGGGAGGGAAGGGTAGGGGTAGGGGGAGGGGGAGGGGAGGGGGGGGAAAAGGGGGGGGAAATGGGGGGGGAGGGGTGGTCCCATGCGGGCGGTCCCCTTCCATCTCGCCATGTCAGGAAGAGTAGAGCTGCTTTTGAGTCGACTCAAAGGGTGACTTTGAGCCGACTCAAAAGTCATCTTTTGAGTCGATTCAAGAGTTGAGCTGCTGGCGAGACAGCTCTCCACCATGGACCCAGCTGCTTCCCCTGCTCGACTCTTCCTGCCAGGGGAGATGGAAGGGGAGGAGGAGAGGGGAAGGTGGAGGGACGGGGGAGGGAGTGGGGGAGGGGGAATGGGAAGGGGAGGAGCCAAGGGGAATGGGAGGGGGAGGAGTGAGGGGATGGCCTGTGAGGTGTCTCAAAAGAGGCTGCCAACTCGGAAAGCTCCTCCTGCCAGGGGAGAGGGAAGAGGAATGGGGGCTTGTTGTCCTGTCACCCTCGGCTCTGCCATGGCAAGAATGGAACCTCTCCCATTCCCCTTCCTTCTCCCGTCACCAGCAAGAGGAGAAGCACACGCCAACCTATGACGCTCACTCTCCCAGCTTCCCATTCAATGCACTGCCAAGAAGAACAGCTGATATCTCCTTCCACTCTTGTTCTGCCCTGCCCTTTTCCCAGCCACATGGTATGTTTTCTGAGAATTCTCAAAGAACATTTCATCATCCTTCACATGCCTGTGATGCACTCTTCCCAGATTCCAATGCATCCTCTCACTGCAAGAGCCCCCATCCCCATGTCTACCTGCGACATTTTCTCCCCAGCCACGTGGTCGAAAGTGAAGTGCTTTTCCGCGAGAAAGAGCGACTGCGAACCGTCCTGCACCACACAGCACTCCTTGCGCTCTCGGTCCACTAGAGAGCGAACCCTCACTATCACCTGACGCAAGAGAAGGAAGGGGGGCCATTGGGTGGAGCGAGCAAAAGTGGAGGCGGAAAGTGGAAGAGCAGGGGAGAAAGCGAACGGATGAGTACATGAAACAGATGGAATGGAATGAGGTGGAGAAAGAGAGAGAGATGGAATGAGGCGGAGGAGGCGGAGGAGGCGGAGGAGGAGGAGGAGGAGGAGGAGGAGGAGGAGGAGGAGGAGGAGGAGGAGGAGGAGGAGGAGGAGGAGGAGGAGGAGGAGGAGGAGGAGGAGGAGGAGGAGGAGGCGGAGGAGGAGGAGGAGGAGGAGGAGGAGGAGGAGGAGGAGGAGGAGGAGGAGGAGGAGGAGGAGGAGGAGGAGGAGGAGGAGGAGGAGGAGGAGGAGGAGCGGGAGGGCAGATCGGTACAGAAGCGGCAGCACAACCTTTCCTGCTCTGCAGCTAGGAGTCGGTACCTGGATGGCTTTTGAGTCGACTCAAAATGCACCTCTGCAGCTCAGAATCTGTACCTGGATGTTCGAACCGTTGGCGCTGGTGTCGCTTGAGCTTGTGCCTGATGCCCGCATGGGGGTGCAAGCTGGGGCAGGCTGCATGGGGGTGCCCAGCGCCCGCATGGTGGTGCCTGCTGGGGCAGGCCGCATTGGTTTGTCGTGTGTCGTGGTGGTTATTTTTGGTGTGCTGGCCACGCTCGAGCGATCTGCCACGGGCGGGGGAAGGGGGGGGAGGAAGTGGGGTTGAAGGGTGGGGGGAAAGAGGGGGAAGTAAAAGGGGGGGAGGGGTGGTCGCGTGTCGTGGTGGTTATTTTTGGTGTGCTGGCCAAGCTCGAGCGATCTGCCACGGAGGGGAAAAGGGGGGAAATGGGGGGGAAGAGGGTGGTGGGGGGAAAGGGGGGGGGGGGGAAGGGTGGGAAGGGGAAAAGGGGGAAGGGAAAGGGGGGACGGAGAGGGAGGAACGGGTCATAGTGAATGCGTCTCGCGTCTCACACGACGACTTTTGATCGACAAAAAAACAGAAGGCGGAGAACTGCCCAATCAGTTTCGAGAGATTGTGACAGATAGTCTACTTGAGTCGACTCAAACGACAAGGATCGTCCGACCACCATGGGCATAGGATCTGTTTGAGACTGGTCGTTGCCATTGCAATGCGACTGGTCACTCACAAGACGGCCGCGGTTGTAGTAGCCACGTTGCTCGTCAGCGGCGCAAGCGCTGCTCGCGGCGTGCCGCCGTGCAGCAGCGACGACATTGACGATGACGGGCGGCTGGGACTATCCGCCTTCCCCGGCAGCGGCGCAAGCGGTGCTCTCGGCGTGCCGTGCAGCAGCGACGACATTGATGGGCCCCCGCGCTGCGACGCCCCGGCGTGCAGAAACCGGGGGCGACGGCGGGGAGTATGATGTTGACCCGCCTTGCCCGGTCCGCCTTGCAATGCCGCGGGTCTGAGACGGCTTGCCGATGCAGGCTGTTTTTGGAGCGCCTCGAACATCGTCGCAGGTCTGAGACAGCTTGCTGATGCGGGTGGCGGAGGCACATTCTCCTCCATGCTGAGCCTGGGAGAGAAGCAAAAGCGGGGAAGCAAAACACTGATTCATGATTGATGCTTTGAATCCCTCCCGTTAGTCTGCGTCGGCTTGCGCATGCGGGCGATGGAGGCACATTCTCCTCCATTTTAAGCCTGGGAAAGAAGCAAAAGCGGGGAAGCGAAACACTGAGATGCCGGATTGATGCGTTGAAACCCTCCCGCAGGCCTGAGACGGCTTGCGGATGCGGGTGACGGGAGGCACGTTCTCCTCCATTCTGAGCCTGTGAGGGAAGAACAAGCGGGGAAGCGAAACACTGATGCATAATTGATGCGTTGAAACCCTCCCGCAGGCCTGAGACGGCTTGCGGATGCGGGTGACGGGAGGCACGTTCTCCTCCATTGTGAGCCTGTGAGGGAAGCAAAATCGGGGAAGAGAAACGTGGGAATATGTAGGGCGAATGAGGCAGGATGGGTACGGAGAATGAGGGCCGGATGAGGCATTCTTGGCAGGGCGAGTGAGGGGCGAATGAGGCAATACGGGCAGGGCGAATGGGCGGCGAATGAGGCAATACGGGCAGGGCGAGTGGGCGGCGAATGAGGCATTACGGGCAGGGCGGATGGGCGGCGAACGAGGCATTACGGGCAGGGCGGATGGGCGGCGAATGAGGCATTACGGGCAGGGCGAGTGGGCGGCGGATGGGCGGATGGGCGGCGGATGGACGCGGGAACGGGGATGGCGACGCGGGAACGGGGATGGCGACGCGGGAACGGGAGATGGGCTGGCGGGCCGTCGCAATCTCACCTGCGGCTGCGGCGGTTAGTGCAGAAAGGGCTTCGTCACGAACGGTTGTGAGAGCACGCTAAAGTGCAGGGCCGGCGAGCGTGATCAGAGGTGGCGTAGGGAGGCAGCGTGGGGAGGCGACTCCGCGATCTGATGGCCGCGATCGAGGCGAAACAGGACGGGCGCAGCGGAGAGAGACTATTCTAACTGACGCGGCGAGGCCGCGAGGAGAGGATTGATGCAGCGGCGATTTTAGGCGACCGATTTTGCAAGGAAGGCGACGCGAGGCAGCGGGGGGGGAGGGGGGGGGACCGATTTTGCTAGGAGAAGGCGACGAGGCTACTAGGGAAAGCGCGGCCAGGCCGCAAGGAGAGGCGAGGTTAGGCAGCAGAGGGAAGCGTGACGAGTAAGCATCGACTACAAGCGAACTCTCCTAGCTTTTGGCGGAAGTGAATGTCAAAAGCTGCTAGCTTTTGACATTCAAGCGAGGCATCCGTAAGAGGGAGGGATTGGGTCGGCAAACCCATGTAACTGCCGCCCACCTTTGCCTAAATGTGCCGCCGAATGGAACCTGACGAAGCGCAGCAGCAGAACCAATTCGTCAGATTCAAATATCCCCGCGGAAACTCGTCAGTCTGACGAATCTCGATACAAACGCTTTCGTCACATCGTAAGGAGCCAGAGTTCAAGACTATATTTTGTAGCTGTAGTCTATGAATTCACTATTATTCTATTAAACTACTGAATTGTAACAAAGTATTTAAATATTCTCAAAGGCATCCGTTTGTTCTTGTTTTATTGCATGTGTCAATAAGATAGAGAAAAAAATGCAGATCTTATGTCATTTTGCGCACGAAATTTGTGAGAAATTCGCATGATTTTGCACCGTGAATTAGTGACTGAAAGCATGAAACCACTTAAAAAACGAGGGGAAATTCATTATTACTGAACGGTATCATGATTTATTTGTTACCAACGACGTAATTAGGGTAGTATTTTGAATGTTTTTTTGAATTATTTTTTTATTATGTAGCAGTTATGTTTAGTTACCATCTCTCGTGGTGCACCACCGCGTTGTTTCATCACGAAGCCACCACACAAGCAGCAGCGAATTTCACCCCCCTGGTGCCGCGCGTTCTCTCGTCCCCTCTCCTCTCTTTTCCCGTTCCCCTTCACTCGAGATTTCTCTTCTTCCCCTCCTCCCCTCATCCCCCACTTCTATCCTAGCGAACCAGGCGGTTACTAGGTTGTACCCGTTTTAGACTTGTAGTGACTGCTCTCTACAAGCATGGCTGATAGAGGTGGATTCGATCGCGGCTTCGGCCGCGGAGACCGCGGAGGGCGCGGGGACAGGGGCCGCGGAGACAGGGGGCGCGGACGCGGGCGCAGACGCACGGAGGATAAGGAGGAGGCGTGGGTGCCGGTGACTAAGCTCGGGCGGCTCGTGAAGGAGGGGAAGATTAAGTCGATCGAGCACATTTACCTCTTTTCGCTGCCGATTAAGGAGCATCAGATAGTCGAGGCTTTCCTGCCGACTCTTAAGGACGAGGTTATGAAGATCATGCCCGTGCAGAAGCAGACGCGCGCCGGGCAGCGTACGCGTTTTAAGGCGTTTGTCGTCGTCGGTGACTGCAACGGTCACATCGGCCTCGGCGTGAAGTGCGCGAAGGAGGTCGCGACCGCTATTCGCGGCGCGCTGATCCTCGCGAAGCTGTCCGTGATTCCCGTGCGACGCGGGTACTGGGGTAACAAGATCGGCAAGCCGCACACCGTGCCGACCAAGGTTACCGGAAAGTGCGGCTCGGTCACCGTGCGACTCGTGCCCGCGCCGCGTGGTTCCGGGATTGTGGCGGCGCGCGTGCCGAAGAAGGTGTTGCAGTTTGCGGGTATCGAGGACGTGTTCACGTCGTCGCGCGGCTCCACGAAAACACTCGGCAATTTCGTGAAGGTTGGTAACAACCCCCTCTCTCCCCCACCCCTATGCATTTCGCCAAATCGCCAATTCAGGCGCGTTAACGTAAGCGGGTGCTTCCGTGTCGCTCGCGATGCGTCACGCCGGAAAGGTTGGCCTTTCACGCATGCGACGGCGCGAATGTCCTGTACCAGCAGCTAGGAGGATGCATGGAAAGGAGAACGGGGGAGGCGGAGTTTGGTGGAGAGGCGGGAGAGGCGGGAGAGGCGGGGAGGGTGGAGTCGATTGGAGACGACGCGGATTCCCCTGTGCTTTTTGAGTACTTGCACCAACCGTAGATATCTGGGTTCGTCGTAGGCCCTTCATAGGCTCGTCATAGGTTCGTCATACGGCCCGGCAGCCCCCCCCTTGTTTTTCCTTTCAATAACAGTCGCACTTCCTGGTGCCAGTGGCTGGTTCCTGTAGCCGCTGTGTTTCAACTTTCCTGTAGCTACATTAGTGTCGCTCGTGATTGCCAGCTGTTAATCGGTCGACTGGCGGCGCACTTATCGGGATCAACGGACGGCCTGCAGCGAGCGGATGGCGCCAGGCGCGCTCTATAGTGGAACTTTCTATGCGTTAGAGCGGTTCTTGCAGTCGTCTCGAAATGCACCTTATCGAATCAACGGAAGGGCTGCAGCGAGCGGGTGACGCCAGGCGCGCTCTCTAGTGTAACTTTCTATGCGTTAGAGCGGTTCTCACAGTCGACTCGAAAGCAGTTTTCAAGTCGGTGTCTACCAAGTAGTGGTTAAGCCGGTAACTCTGGCCTGCATCTTCGTAAGCTGGCTGTAGGAGCGATGGGTTGTTCGAGGCCGCTTGTCCTAGTGACGTGGGTCCCTGTGAGCGGTGTTAGTGACGGAAGCCGTACACGTCAGCCAGTACCACCCGCACTGAACAAAAGCCAGGAAATGGGAACCTCTTTTTTCTCGTGAAATGAGAGCCACCCCCTCTTTCCGTCCCTCCCCTTTTTCGCTCCTCCCTGCCTGCCTGCATGCCTGCCTGCCTGCCTGCCTGCCTGCCTGCCTGCCTGCCTGCCTGCCTTCCTCCTTCCCCCATACCCGTGCGCCTGCACAACCGACCGATGGCGTGTGATGCTTTGTCTATCGATGATTCACATGACGCGTCCCTCCCTCCCGGGAGTGTGACTCGTGAAATCAAACCCTTGACTCCTGATGCCACCAGCTCGTCGCCTCGCCTCCCTGCCTCCCTGATTCGTTCCTGATTCAGCTCCGCTTTTTTCTTTTCCTCAAAGTCTGACCTACCCCCCCCATCCCTCCTTCCTCACACGTGTCCCCTCTTCCTCACACCCCCTCGTCTTCCCCACTCTTTCCCCCGCCCTACTCCACCGAACCCAAATGCCTTTCGCTTGGCGGCGGCAAGTGATGCTTTGTCTATCGATGATTCACATGACGCGTCCCTCCTTCACGGGAAAGGGACTCGTGAAATCAAACCCTTTGACTCCTGATGCCACCAACCGTCCCCTCGCTTCCCTGCTTCCCTCCATTCTTTCCGGATGTGACGCCACTTTTCTCTTCCTCACGGCCTGACCTACTCCCTCCCATCCCCGTTCTTTCCCGCAATTTCCCCCTCTTCCCCACCCTTTGTCGTCTTCCACCCTTGTCCCTTTCTTAACGCAAATGCCCCTCCCTTTTGGTGGCGTGTGATGCTTTGTCTATCGATGATTCACATGACGCGTCCCTTCCTCACGGGAGTGTGACTCGTGAAATCAAACCTTTTGACTCCTGATGCCACCAGCCCGTCGCGTCGCTTCCCGTTCATTCTCTTCTCTCTTCACGTTCCCCTCGCTTTTCCTTTTTCCTTGCAAACTCCTTACGCTAGTTCCTTGGTACTTCCACTTTAGATTATTCGCTACCAAATTAAAGCTGTTTCCCATCCAACGGCCACTCACTCGCTCCTCTTCCCTCTTCCCCACAGATCAGATTCGACTGTCTTTGCACATACACACTGTTTCTACGCCTGACCTCTGGCACGCCGCCAAGTTGCATGTTCATCCATCTCCCGCACTGTCCCTTTCCCATCCACCACCTCCCCTTTCCACTCCCATACCGGTCTTCTTTCCTTGTCTGCTCAACAAGTACGCCTCTCTGATGCCCGACCTCTAGCACGTCATCAAGTTGCATGTTTATCAACCGTGTTCTATTCCGTTCCCTTGTACTTGATATCACTTGCCCCCCATTCGATCAGGCCACGTTCGCCTGTCTGCTCAACACATATGCCTTCCTGACGCCCGACCTGTGGCACGCCACCAATCTGCGTGTGCATCATCCACCTTTCCTTCCATTCCCGTGCACTTGCTATTTCCTGCCTTGCCCTCCCCCCCATTCCAACAGGCCACGTTCGCCTGTCTGCTCAACACATACGCCTTCCTCACGCCCGACCTGTGGCACGCCACCAATCTGCATGTGCATCATCCACCTTTCCTTCCATTCCCGTGCACTTGCTATTTCCTGCCTTGCCCTCCCCCCATTCCAACAGGCCACGTTTGCCTGTCTGCTCAACAAATACGCCTTCCTCACGCCCGACCTGTGGCACGCCACCAAGTTCACCAAGACGCCCTTCCAGGAGTTCACTGACTTCCCCCAGTTGCATGCTGTTCCTCAAAATGATGCACCGTTCCCCCTCTCGTCCCCTCCCCTGTTTTGCCCGTTCTCTCCCCTTTCCCCTGCTCTTCCCCGCCTGCCTTCTTTTCCATCTATCATCCCTCTGCACTGCAGGCTACCTTTGCCTGTCTGCTCAACACATATGCCTTCCTGACGCCCGACCTGTGGCACGCCACCAAGTTCACCAAGACGCCCTTCCAGGAGTTCACTGACTTCCTCGCCAAGCCCCACAAGCTCGCGCTCCCTGTTGCTGTGCCCGATGCCTATGCTGCCCCCCCTCCTGCCGCCGCCGCCCCTGTTCCTGCCTTTTAAACGAGTCGGTGCTGAGTAGGAATGGATAAGGGCTTGTTTTTGTAGATTTGAGGCCTGAATGTGCACACAGCTGTGAATATTGAGAAAGCTTGCTTTCTGTTCTTGCAAAGGCAACTGGCTTCATTACAATTGCAGTAATACAACATTCTCGTCCAATTATGGATCATACAAATGTTGGTACAACTAGGGTGGGTGGGTGGGTAGGGAGTGAAACTGCAAAGTTCTGAAATGAAGTCGTGGGTGGAGGCCGAATGGCCTCCAACCCTCGTTATGTACTCGGCGAATTGTAATTTTCCGTTGCTTTGCTTCGTTACAGGCAGCTGCGCTTTCACAATACGCATTTTTAGAAAGTGTTACACACTTTCGAAAAATTTCATGTTTGTGCTGCAGCCTGCGATCCAAGTCAAGAACAAGCTTGTATCATGTGAAATGTCCCACCACTGTAGTACCTGTACCTCCATCAGGGCCCAAAATATCAGGGTAAAACGCCCTGATTACACTGGGGGTCGGCCGTTTTTTCAGGATTACCCTGCCAAAATCAGGAATGCGAGATAGTTACCCTTCTCTTAAAAGAGCATGTTTTATTTCACCCTGATTGGTTTTTAGGTTAGCCTGACGGAATCAGGGTATGGTGTACACTACCGTTTTACCAAAACTTTCCTAACGCGAATCAGACCACAGTCCGCGTGGTGTCAAAATTTACCACACCCCCACAAACACCGCACTGCGGGGGCGCACACGGGGCGAGAGGAGAGGAGAAGATAGCGTGAGAGATGGCCCTACGGAGTGTGCTGACGGAACGAGAAACCAGACACTTTTCGTGCATCGCTGCCACTTGATTGAGACCTCAAGCACTGCGGGGCGGGGACGGAACCTGTGGTAACGGGGAAGTAGTTACAGTGCGAGTTAGCGAAAAAACAAATTGAAGCACTCCCACCTCTTCGACACACGATTTCCACAAAGGGCATGCTTTTCGACGCGCAATTCCCGCAATTCCCCCTCTGCAGGAGTCTCCCGCAGCGCGCCGCGCTGCTTCCCATTGCACCGCGCGTCGTGGCCCGCGACGCGTACCGTATTCCTTTTCCGTCTGGAACGCGATAGATAGTGAAGTCGCCCCAAAATTTACCGCAATAGTGAAGTCGCCGGTAATCCGAACAGGCTAAGCATAAAACTACCCTGCTCAAATCAGTCTAGTGGTTGATTTACCCTGCTGAAAACAGGGTACGGAAAATTTTACCCTAGGGGTCTGTTCAAGGAAGGCCTGGTACCCTGATTTGGAAGAGTAGGCCTAAACGAATTTTGGGCCCTGACCTCCATACACACGCATACCGGTACATTTGTGCTAACCAGTATGAAGATTGTGAGGTCACCAAATTGCCCTTCCAGGACTTCACTGACTTACTTAGCAAGCTCCTCAAATCTGGTAAAACCCTGCAAAACCGTTCGTTGGCAATAGAATAGGTGCTGCTGGATGGCAACAAACCTGCAATAGATTCCTAATTCTGGCGGAAAGAGGTCTGCAATATGTATTTTTATATATACACGGGGGGGAACCCAGCTCATATCGGATCGAGCGAACATCACATCGTTCACTATTATGTGTACAGTAGCGGGGATGGAGCATGCTGAGTTGGCAGGGTCAAGTTGACTAGGGCCTAGGTTCGCCTTGTCACCGCCGCGGCAAACCAATGGAATCGGGGGTGCTTTGCAATCCAACGGCACCCCTTGCGTGACGGGGATTTCGACGCGGTTTTGGAGTCGCATGCACAGTGGCGGCCGGGCTTCATGAGCTACGAGGGTTACCACGGTTACAACCCGGCGATTTTACAACCCGGCGATTTTACAACCCGGCGATTTTACAATCCGGCGAGATAGATATCTTCGCGGAGGGGCGATGCCAGTGGTCATGACAAAGACCACGCCCGAGAGAGCAGGTGAGAGAAAATGGCCCAGACCGCCCTACCCCACCCACATCTGTGTGTCTGTTGCGACTTTTTTCTTGTGGGGGAGTGAGTGTCTTGCTGTTATCAGGGGTTCGCGATTTTCGAGACGTCTCATATCATAACTCAACTAATTTTAGTAGTGCGACGAGTTATCGTTGTCTCAGTGCGATGGACGTACACAATCCCGCCGCGTCGCACCACAACCCCGCCGCGTCGCGTTCCCGCTTCACTGCCCGCTGCTCCCCCCTCACCGCGATGCGCGGCTCCTCCTTCCGCACGGCGCGGCCGTTAATCCTGTCCAAACTCGCCGCCTATAAACTGCCTCATATTATTATCTCTTGCTTCGGATTTGCGCTCGCCGCGGTTGTTCTTCTGATCGCGGCAATCCACGTGGCGCCTGGACATTGGTCGAAGGCATGGCTGAAATTATGCCCCGCGCCGCTATGCATGAACGGACGTGATTTCGCAAGCGGCGGTTCCGGATTTTTCGGCGTGGATTTCGATGTCTCCGCCGAAGCTGGTGTCTCCGCAGCTCCTATAGCGGATTTCATGGCTCTTGTATCGAATGACAGTATAGCGGGGTTTTTGAAAGTCGTCACAAAACGCCCCCACATTGCGGGTACCCCCGAAAATTTTGAAACTGCCCGATACGTGAAAGAACAGTTGGAGGTGAGCTGAAGCCGCGCGTACGCGTTTTAAGCTTCTGGTTTAGGCGTACTATAATTAATAGCTTCGCCAACGAGGCTCTGCACTAACGAGCTTGGCTTTCCCGCCCATTCTTTCCCGCCCAATATTTTCGGCCTATGAGTCCCGTTTCTTCCCTCAGTGCTCTCCCGCTCCCCTCCCTTTCCCCCCTGTGCCCCTCTTTTCCCCCCTGCGCTCTCCCCCTCCTTTCCCCCTGCGCTCTCCCCTCCCTCCCTCTCCCCCCTGCGCTCTCCCCTCCCTCTACCCCCTGCGCTCTCCCCTCCCTGTCTCAGGCGTTCGGCATCGCAGCCCATTACGCCGATTACCCCGTGCTGCTCAGCCGGCCAATCAGGCAGCGCCTCGCGATCGTTCAGCCAATCACGCGCGAGCTGGTGCTTCGGGAGCTGCCCGTGCCTGGCGACCCGTACTCGCACGACCCTCTTGCTTCGGTGCCGTTCCTGGCCTACACGCCCGGGACGAAGGGGAGGGGGAGAGGAGGAGGAGGAGGAGGAGGAGGAGGAGGAGGAGGAGGAGGAGGAGGAGGAGGAGGAGGAGGAGGAGGAGGAGGAGGAGGAGGAGGAGGAGGAGGAGGAGGAGGAGGAGGAGGAGGAGGAGGAGGAGGAGGAGGAGGAGGAGGAGGAGGAGGAGGAGGAGGAGGAGGAGTGAAGGAATACTATGGAGAGCGTTACGACGGCGAGAGAGTTTCGGCTATGGGAATTGATGTTGTGCCAGTAATTCGGTAGCGTTTGGGTAGCGTTGGTCTCAAATGACTAAGTGAGAAAACCAAGTAGAATTGTAATATCAACTATGAATACAAAAACAAACACACAAGATAGATATAGGCTACGGGGAGGTTTCACAAAGTTGCCGTGGCGCTGCGCAGTAACCCAACCCCACGAAAGTGGTGTGTGAGTGAGCGAACGCGCCTCGTCAACTTCCCAACCCAACTCAGCAGCGGGGTCAATGCCGAGCACGCCCTCTCTTCCAGCACAGCTAGAAGTAGCGTGACTCACAGAGAAGCCTCCACAACTCCCAAGACTCGTGCCTACGACTTCCCTAGACTAACACCACCCCAGCAATGACTGTTGAGTGCTGCCGTAGTCATATTGCGTCACCACGCAACCATCGCAAGTCATAAGGTCGGTGTTGGGCTGCTCGTCTTGGTTGTTCATAGCTGACCTGCCGAGTCAAACGGTCGTCGAGGGCCCTTGCTGTCGTAGGGCCCTCTAACACTCCCCTGCCATACTACAGCAAGGCCCTTTATAACCATAGGGCATGCATACACGCATACACACCAAAAGAAAGGGACACACACAAACGAAGCACTCTCAAAGTGCAAACACGCACCGCACCAGCCATGGATAGGCCATGGCACCATACCCACCATGGAGAGTCTAGGTCTCACTCCCCTCGCTCGACAGCCTCACCTGCCCCACAGCCTCGAAGCAACGACTGAAGGCGGGGAAATGCAAAGCCTTGGTAAGGTAGTCGGCAGGCTGCTCGCTCGTAGGGATGTACTGCAGCTGCAGCTTCCTGCGCTTGACCATGTGCTGCAGCCACATGTGACGACGCTCCGAGGAGTTGTCCACAAAGAGAGTAGTGGGAACCTCACTCCTCAGCAGTTGAAACTCTGCCAGCAGGAAGCGCAGCCTGCGCGCCTCCTTCCCAGCCTCCACAGCAGCAACGTACTCAGACTCAGTGGAGGAGAGGGTGGCACAACGATTCCTCTGGCTCGCCCAGGAGACAGCGGCACCTCCGAGCACGAAGACATAGCCACCAGTGCTAGTCCTGTTCTGCTTGTCTCCTGCATCATCAGCATCGGCGTAGCCCACCAGCTCCAAGGACTCAGGCCCACCACCAAACTCCAGCGCCACATCCCTGCTCCCCACCAAGTATGCCAAGCATCGGTCCAACTCCTTCCAGTGCTGGTCACTCCGTACAGTCTGGCCTGACCCTAGTTTGCTGCAGGCAAAGGAGATGTCGGGACGGGTGGTACAGGCTGCGAACTGCAAGGATCCCACCTTCTGCCTGTACTCCTCCTCCTGGCGAGACTGCCATCCCGCATCCTCAAAGGTCTGCACACTGAAAGGGTCAGAGGAAAGGGGGGTGCGAGGCACTCGCAGCGGCTGCTCCCCGTCGAAGAAGCGCCTATGGACCTTGTCCACGTAGGCCCCCTGGTGCAGCCACAGCCTCCTCGTAGGCCTGTCCCGAATCAGCTGCAGCCCCAGGTACTTCTCCACAGGGCTAATCTCCCGCAGCTGAAACGCACTCTGCAGCAGCTCACGTAGCTCCCCCAGCATGCTCTGACTGCGGCTGGCAGCAAGCAAATCATCCACATACACCAGCAGCCAGCACATCTCCCCCTCAGCATCACTCTTGAAGTACAGAGCCTCATCCACCTGGCTCTTCTTCCATCCAGCCCCAAGCAGCACCCCATCCAAGGCCTCATACCACAGCATCGGGCTTTGCTTGAGGCCATACAGACTCTTCAGCAACTTACAGACACGAGGAGTCCCATCCTCGTAGTAGCTCGGCTGCTCCATGTAAAGGTCTCGGTCCAGCACGCCATGGAGGAACGCGTTCTTCACATCCAGCTGCATCAGGTCCAAATCAAGTGCAGCTGCAATCGCCAGAAGAACTCGCGCCGTCACATAGCTTCCCACAGGGGCGTACGTCTCCTCATAGTCCACCCCTGCCACCTGCGTGAACCCCTTCACCACCAGCCGCGCCTTCTCACGCTCCACTACCCCATCCGGTCGGAACTTGGTGTTCAGGATCCAGCGGTTCTTCATTACATTCACCCCTGGCGGACGCGGAACCAACTCCCACGTCCCCTGCTCAATCAAGCTCCGCATCTCCTCATCCATTGCCTCCTTCACCTTGTCGCCCTTCCAGCAGCCCAAGGCTTCCTTCACTGTCATCTTCGCTATATCCCACTGCCTCTCAGGGTCGGCCACCACGTCAGGATCCAGGTCCGTCCACTCCTCGTCCTCCTCCTCGTCATCCAATCCCGCTGGCTCAATCACTAAAGCCCAAGCATACTTAAGAGGCGGGACACCACGAGTGATGCGAGTGGAGCGACGCAGTGGCGCAGTGATCGTCCCAGAAGCCAACACACGACCACCATCTCTAATTCCCCACATCTCCTGCTCCCCTGTCTGCTGCTCCCCTAGCTGCTGGTCCACCATCTGCTGCTCCTCAATCTGCTCCTCCCCTATCTGCTGCTCCCCACTCTGCTGCTCCCCTGACTGCTGCTCCCCTATCTCCTGCCCCCCACTCTGCTGTACTCCATCCATACTGCTCTCGTCCTGCAGCTGCTCAGTCTCAAGGCGCTGCCCGTCGGTGATCTCCACAGACGAGGGCACCACTATCCCCCCCTCACCAACGGGCGGCGCCGTGGAAGACGAAGAGGAGGGTGGAGCAGGTGCAAGAGGGATGGAGGGTGGAAGGGGAGAGGGAATAACAGGAGGAGGAGGGGAAGCCAAGGGGGGTGAGGATGAAGAAGGTGGGGCAGGGGGAACCACACGAGGGTAAACTGAAGGCGGAGGTGGGGTGGGGACCGAGGTAGGGACATAGGGCATAGCAGGAGGTGCGACCACCTCCTCCTCCTCCACCGCCTCCTCAAGAGTGATCGGGAAGTGAGAGGGAAGGGGCTCATAGGGCATTGGACGCCCCCCATGCTCTTGCTGATGCCACGCCTTCCATCCTGCCAAGGACATGGTCTCATAGAACACAGCTTCCACAGTGGTGATGAGGCGGTTGGACTCCAAGTCCAGCACGGTCCAGCCCTTGCTCGCTGCGGACACCCCCAAGTGCAACCCCCAGCGAGCCTTTGGTGCCAGCTTCCCCCCACGCTGCGACTGAGGCACCATGTACTGCACCATGCAGCCCCATACCCGCACCATACTGACATCGGGTTTATGTAGAAAGGCGAGCTCGTACGGCGTCACACCAGAGGGCAGCGAGGCGTGCTCCACGCGGTTGCGCACCCAGACGGCCTGCGCCAACGCCAGGTGCCACCAGTGGTGCTGCACCCCCATGTGCAGCAGCATCGTTCGCACCGCCTCCACAATGCTGCGCATCTCCCGCTCGGCCATCCCGTTCTGCTCCGGCGTGTACGGGCACGTCAGGTCATGGATGATGCCTTTGCCGTCGAGGAAGAGCGTGAAGTCATGCCCAAGGAACTCGCCACCCCGATCAGTGCGCAGCGCCTGCACCGTGGTCTTACACTGCCGCTCTGCCATCGGGAGCCACTTCTGGAACGCCGCCAGCGCATCACTCTTCTGAGCCAAAGGGTAGGCCCAGACGTACCGCGACTTGCGATCCTTCAGCACCAGGAAGTAGCGGCTGCCGTCCTTAGCTGTTTCACGGAAAGGGCCACACAGGTCAGCATGCACCACTCCAAGCAACTCATCCTCCTCCGCACCCACTGACGGGAAGGTATGACGAGTGATCTTCCCCCCAACACAGGAGACACAAGGTATGCCTGACTTGCCCCCCTTCTCCAGGTCCAAGCCCTTCACTGACCCGTGAGACGCAGTGCGCTCGATGGCATCAACGCCAACGTGTGCCATACGGGCATGCCACATGTCCACCTTAGACCGCACGCCCGTCGTCAAGGTACGAAGGGCCACCGTTTCTCCTTCCTGCTGCTGCGTCGAACACGGCTGGAAGTTCGTGCAGAGAACACGCCCCCTGAACTCTGCACGCCCAAGAAGCGACCCATCTGGTGCCCGCAGCAGAGTCACGTCGCCTGCATCCAGCAGCTGCACGCCACTATCACGCAGCTGCCCAGCAGAAAGAAGACTCGCCTGCACTCCAGGTACGTACAGCACGTCTGGCACCAAGACACGCCTGCCCCCCTCTCCAATGAGAGCGACTGTGCCTCGCCCCTGCACATCCTGAAGAGCGCCGTTGAAGCCTTTCACCTGTTTGATACTACCGCCGCTGCTCATCTCCACAAAGGCAGAACGATCTCCCATGAGATGGTGGGAGCATCCGCTATCAAGTAGCACGACGCTCGGGTTTGCCTTCACAGCAGCTGCAACAGCCTGTAAGCCCTCCCCGGCCTCAGGCTCCAGCACAACGAGAGGAGTCTGCTCTACAACGGGCTTCACCATCGCACATGATGACTGCCCGCTCCCCTTAGAGCCATCACCCCCCTTGCCGCTGCTACCTCCAGAACCCTCTCCACCAGTGTCTGCCTCCTTATCCGCCCGCTGCTGACAGTACTTAGCCACATGCCCTATCTGTCCACACACATAGCATTTCCCCTTGAAGCCCCCTTTCCCCCCCTTCGGCTGACCATCCTTAGCCCCTTTCCACTTCTCCCCTCCGCCACCAACCCCACCCCCATTCTTAGGCTGCTGCTGCTGTGCCGTAGTGGGAGGGGAAGGGGATGAAGTCTGCTGGAATTGGGGCTTACCCTTCTTGATAAAGACTTGGTTAGCCTGGGGAAGAAATTGGTCCTTCCGTCCCTCCGCCGCTAGCGTACACTCCTCCTCGATGATGTAGCTAGCGAGGGTATCCTCGTCCAACTCCTTGCGCACCTGCGGCAGCTTCAGCATCCTGCGTAAGAGGTTGTACTGTTGTGGCAACCCCTTCACGACATGAGTAATGTACGACGCCTGCGAATAATCTACGCCGGCCATCCTCAAGTTCACTAG